TCTCTCTCTCTCTCTCTCTCTCTCTCTCTCTCTCTTTCTCTCTCTCTCTCTGCACGCTACTGTTAGAAAAATCTGCATGGCACGCTTTTGTTTTTCTTGAAAAATGCCTCCATTGCAAATGAATTATGGTCAAAATAAAAGCCTTCAAGGTGGTACCAGTCCCACTTGTCCTGGGTCCTGGCATGGTTGGGTGTCAAGGAGCATTTAGCTATGATAACAAGAGAGAGACCCAAAGTAATTTCCCAGTTTGTTTTATTTTTCTGTTTCTTTAAAAAGCTTATTTTTTATGTGCTTATGAATATTTTCCCTGCATGGGTGTGAGCCATGTGTGTGCATAACCTGTGCAGTACAGAAAGGTCCCGGAGTCACCAACAGTTATCAGCTGCCATGTGGCTGCTGGGAACCGAACCTGGGTCCTCTGCAAGAGAGCTGGTGCTCTTAGCCACGGAGCCATCGCTCCAACCTCCATGTTTTCCCATTTTTCCATTTTTAAACTGTCGCTAAAGAAAAACATTGCGAATCCTACCATCCTTGGTCATTTGTTGCATAGGACTGTCCTCTGGCAAATGGACCACTGACAGATGCCTTCTTCCCAAGCTTGGTTGCACCCACTTCCCTAGGATCCTCACAGGTCAGATGGCTGACTATCATGCTCCACAGGAAAGGAGGGCCAGGGCATGAGGGGCGGCGAGGCTAAGGACATATAAGTTGAGGAGGCCATAGGGAAGCTATCTCATACTCTGAGTAAACCCTCATCCTTTGCTCTGGAAGTAAGCCCAATAAACTCACTAGTTTCCCAGACTGCAGTCTGACAAAGCCGAACTTGGTTTGTCATAGGGACCAAGGGAGGAGGGAGCCAGATGTCATTTGTGCCTCCCAGAAGGAATTTTAGCCACACCATTTTTATGTTGTTCTAAATCCCTTGTTTATTGATAAGATTCTGTCACAGGAATACATTTAAATACATAACTGGATACCATAGGATTTTGGGAGATGTCAATGGATACAAATAATAAGCACATTTTAATTGCAGACCGGCAAAAGTATTTGCTAAGTGTCAAGCAGGAACATCATAACCCAAAGATAGAGGTTGCAATTCTGTCAAACTTGGGGCCAGGTAAAACTGATACTCTGTATTCCTGTGGGAAGGTTCATTAGACTTATTCACCAAGCCAACAAATGTACGACAAATTAGGTTCCGTCTGAAGTTCCAGTTCCAGGACAAAGGCATCAGGTCCCCAGTTTACTGAATACAACATTTTTTTCCACACCGGCTGGAATCCTTGAAGCGCAGCTGCGCTTTAGGACGGTACTTCTCCAGATACATGAGTTGCTTGATGTTCAACGCTCCATGCCGCTTTTGTCTTATGAACTGTACGGCGTCTTCATATTTCATCCCAGCTTCAATCAGTGCCAGGGCGACTAGCACCGGAGCTCTCCCAAGGCCTGCAGCACAATGGACAGCAATGCAACAACCAGGTTCTTCACGAAACTTAAACTTGACAAGACTCAACCAGGCATCAACAATCTGGTTGGATGGTAGTGCGCCATCATCGAAAGGCCAGTCGAGAATGCAGATGCCTTCTTTCTCCACTAGAGTTGCGTCGTAAGTTGCTCCACACAGTCTTACTACTGAGGTAACTCCATGTTTCTTCAGGTCCTCTATAAACTTGCTGAAGGTTGCCTTGGTTGGACTGTGTGTGATAAAGAATCTCATGTTCTTGTAGGTGACTTCCACGGGAGCAGGGCGGTTCGGTTGAGCCATGTTAATTTAGTTAGAAAATTAGAACACTCAAGGGGGTTATTAAGGAACTAAGACCAGTGATACAATGAAGCCAAAAGACCACAGTCTCTGTCAATATTCACCATCCTCTGCTTGAAGTTCTCAGTGCTCAGAGTATGAAACTGGGCGAAATGGGAAACGGGATAAACCTCCTCACAAGCAGCAGCGAGTCTTCAGGAAACTGAGGCCAGACAAAGCACATGCGCTGAGCCTTGCCCTGCCCGGGTCTGAGCTCTTGCAAACACTCTGCAGGTTTCAATTCAGCCGGTCTGTGTCCGGGTTGTCCACTCTATGAGTTCCTGTGGAGCAGCGATGGACACCTACAGGCCCCTCATCTGCACAGAGGTCGCTCTGTCTCTGGCAGTAATGCCCACTGGGCTTCAGAAACTCCACAGATGTGTGACCAAGAACACCACAGCACAGTTATGTCTGTCAAGGTGTTCTCTCTCAAGGCGGGTTCCAGAAGAAAACTCCTTTCTGGAAGCTGTCCTTCACCAATGGTGCTACCCAAGTCTCTGCCAGCCCCATTTATACTCCTGAGGGAGGGAATGGGCACGCCCTTTCCTCCCTGGCTGATCTCACCATCTCTGATTATTCAATCACCCTTTTTTCACACCCTCAGTAATTGCAATCCAGGAAGGGACCCACCATGAACAGTGCTTTGGAAATGTGCTGCAGAGTCAAAGAGAGAGCCCTGTGGACTGTTCGGTGTGATCCCCACTATTGAGCTTGAAAGGTTTTTTTTTTCTTTTTAAGCCTTCATATCTTGAAAACAGTTTGCCCCCTTAAAAGATAATAAAATCAAGCTGGGTGCAGTAGCACATGCCTTTTATCCCAGCATTTGGGAGGCAGAGGCAGGCAGATCTCTGTGAGTTCAAGGCCAGGCTGGTCTGCATAGAGAGTGCCAGGACAGCTGGGGCTACAGGGAGACCCTGTCTCAAAAAGACCCAAAAAAAAATTAAATAAATAGAGATAATTGAACCAGGCTTCTTGTACTAATAAACCACCTCTCAACTTCTCCTTTGTGCCTCTTGTTGTGCGAAGTCACAGGATTATGGATCACTGGAGAGAAATAAACAAAATCAAAACCAGAACACAGTAAGCCTTTGTAGCTCACAGGATTCTCAAGACTGAGACAAATAGGGGCACGGAGACACCATCCTGCTGTGGAGAGGTGTCCCAGGAAAGACGGCTTCTAATGACAACCCTTCTCAGTGTTGAGCGACTGGCAGGCATCATTCCTCTTGGACCCCATTTCAAGACAGGGTCTCATTATGCAGCTGGCCTGGCCTAGAACTGGCTATGTGTATCAGGCTTTCCTCACACTCATAGAGATCCTCCTGCCTCTGCGTCCTGAGTGCTGGGATTAGAGGTGCCTGGCTACCCCATGTATATTGATGTTTCACCAATAACAAAACTGGGTTATTGATTGATTTCCCCTACTTGTGCTGGAGATAGAACTCAGGGTCTGAGCTCTTAAGCAAAGGTCTACCACTGAGCTCTCCCCAGCACAAAGCTGGCGGTTACGGAATTAGAAGAAGCACGGCTTGTTCTGCGGCCCATCATGAACACTTTCTCTTCCTGTCTCTCTTCTTCAAGTCTGCTTTGAGCTCATGTAATCTCTGATGCATCTCTCAGAAGCTTCTGTGAAGGTGGGTTCTGTCTGTGTGATGGTTGGTGACACATCAATGCCTGTGGTCCCTGTCATAAAACATTTTGCTGTTCCTTGTCTCTGTTTCAAGTCTGCTTTGAGCTACAGAGGTTAAAATCACTTGCTGCTGTTGCAGAGGATCCAAGTTCAGTTCCCAGTACCCACACCAAGGAACTCATAGCTACCTGTAACTCCGGCTTTGAGTGATGCAATGCCCTCTTCTGGACTCTGCTGGTATTGCACCCATGTGCACAACTCACCCCCTCCCACATATACCTGTAATTAAAAATAAAATCATAGCTGGGCGGGGCGGTGCACGCCTTTAATCCCAGCACTCAGGAGGCAGAGGCAGGCAGAGCTCTGTGAGTTCAAGGTCAGCCTGGTCTACATAGTGAGTTCTAGGACAGCTGGGGCCACAGGGAGACCCTGTCTAAAAAAGACAAAAAAAAATCATCAAATTAATTTGGAGAAGGACACCCACCGTTGACATCTGGCCTCTTCATACACACACACCTGCATGTGTACCCCACATATACATGTACACACATAAGCACACATAACACACACACACAAAAAGAAATAACAAGAGGTCCCAAACGGAGGCCTTAGAGTACTGATTCTCCAGATCTGAGAAGAAACACTTCTGTTGTTGGTAAGCTGCTGGGTCTGGTATTTTGTGATAGAAACCTGAGCTATGATGGTCAGTGATCCAGACCATCATGTGCCCCAATTCTCTCTCTGCCCTTCCCCAGATGCAGAGTGGGTGGCTGTCAGTGGTGCTCCTGCCTGTCAGCCACAGTGCGTGGTGAAGACGTGCTATATCGAACACTCTATCCATGGCCTGCTGACTACCTGGGAAAGCAGTGTGTCCACAGGTTCTAGCCCAGTGCGTCCTCCCCCATCAGAGGACAGTGAAGAGACCAATACAACACACAGGTGCTGGGGTTAGTAGCTTTATTTCATGTTTAAAGGACAGAGATCTGAGCTCCTGGTGACTGCAGCCCCATGGGAGAGGTTGGGCCTGGCATCTGCAGAAATGACCAGGACAGATCTGCAGAAGTAAGAGGTGGCAGGGGAGCCCTGGGGGTCATCCTTCTCCAGTCCAAGGCCCGTAGCTGCCGGGCTTGCAGGAGCCGGCCTTGTGGCCCTGTAGAAGACAAGCCACCCTTGCAGCAGCTGGACTGGCAGGAAGCTTGGGAAGGGAGGAGGGTGTGGGTAAGGGAATTGACACAGGACCAGCTTCAGGGTTACTGGGAGAGGGGCAAAGCCTGGGCTAGAACGCCTGACTCCTGAACGGGATAATGCTGATCTGGTAGCAACTCCACAAATCTAAAAGTCAGATCTTGCACTGGCAGCACACAGGGGCACAGCAGCTAGACTGACAGCAACAGGGCTTACAGCAGCTGGACTGACAGCAGCTGGGTTTGCAGCAGCTGGACTGACAGCAGCAGGGTTTGCAGCAGCTGGACTGACAGCAGCTGGGTTTGCAGCAGCTGGACTGACAGCAACAGGGTTTGCAACAACTGGACTGACAGCAGGAAGACCCACAGCCTGAAGAACAGCAGGGATTGCAACAGCTGGACTGACAGCAACAGGGTTTGCAACAACTGGACTGACAGCAGGAAGACCCACAGCCTGAAGAACAGCAGGGTTTACAACAGCTGGACTGACAGCAGCTGGGTTTGCAGCAGCTGGACTGACAGCAGCTGGGTTTGCAGCAGCTGGACTGACAGCAACAGGGTTTGCAACAACTGGACTGACAGCAGGAAGACCCACAGCCTGAAGAACAGCAGGGTTTACAACAGCTGGACTGACAGCAGCTGGATTTGCAGCCCCCACAGGATCCACAGCCCCCCTTGCAGCCCCCACAGGAACCACAGCCCCCCTTAGAGCCCCCACAGCCGGAGCAGGAGCAGGCGGGCACACAGCAGCACACGGGCTTGCAGCAGCACACGGGCACACAGCAGCTGGAGCCACAGCCTCCGGAACAGCCACCGCAGGTCATGGTTCTGGCGGTTGGTTGAGGATGGAGTAGGTCAGAGGAGCAGGTGGAGAGGGAGGTGTGCGGTGTGGAGTCTCCTGAGCCCGGGGCCTTTATAGTCCTGTCCAGGGTCAGGTGGGAGGCTGCACATGTTGACTTCCTGGTTCCTGTTGTCATACTTTTAGGGCCACTCTTGTTTTCCTGTAGCCATCACCCCCTCGTGGACCATCCATTGGCCTTTGGCTGCTTTTTGTTGGCTGGTGAGTCCAACTCTGTTGCTCAGTTTGCGTTCAGTGGAGGGAGGACCCTGAGTCCACCAGTGACCCAACTCATTCCTATTAACGGCAGACTGACATTTGACTAAAATTTTTGCAGGTATGTGTGTGAGTTCACATGTGTGCAGGTGCACGTACAGTGTGTGTGCTTGTGCAGACTAGAGGTTACCACTGGGAGTCTTTTTCAGTTGCTGTCTGCCTTGTCTATTGCAGCACTGTCTTGCTGAACCCAGAGCTTGCTGTTTACACTAGTCTGGCTTGCAAGGCTCCAGGAATTCCCTGTCTCTGTCTGAGGCATGTTGGGATGATAGGCGGGCTGGCCTGCTCACACTGCCCGTATGTGGGTTCTGGGGATCTGAACTGAAGCCCTCATGCTTGTACAGTGTCCTAGTTTGTTTCTCCATTGCTGTGACAAAGCACTCTGACCACTACCAACTTGGGGAGGAAAGGGTTTATTTGTCTTACATCTCCTGGTCACAGTTCATCAGGGAGCCCAAGGTAGGAACTCAGGGCAGGAACCGGGAGGCAGGAGCTGGAGCACAGGCTTGCTCCCTGGGCCCTGCCCAGCCTGCTTTCTTATACAACACAGGCCCACCTGCCCAGGGGTGGCACCGCCCACAGTGGGCTGGGCCCTCCCACATCACTCAACAATCAAGAAGATGCCCCACAGACATGGCCATAGGCCAGTCCTATGGAGGAAATTCCCCAGTTGAGGCTCCATCAACCCAGGTGTGTCAAGTTGATACTAAAGCTATCCAGCACATGCGGCAACCGCCATCTTCCTAGCCCTTTATATTTGATTAAAAACTCATCTGTTTTAGCTGGGCGTGGTGGCATGCACCTGCCTTTAATCCTAGCACTAGGGAGGCAGAGGCAGGTGTATCTCTGTGAGTTCAAGGCCAGCTTGGTCTATAGTGAGTTCCAGACAGCTGGGACTACAGGGAGACCATGTGTCAAAAGGACAGAAACAAACAAACAAACAAACAAAAAATGCCATATAAACAACGTCAACTTGTGGAAAATTTACCAAAGCAGATGAAGCCCCCTTCATATATCTCTCCCCGTGGGCTTTGCCTCAGTTTAATAAGTCTTTGAATCTGGAGCCAATCTCTCCCAGACAGGAACTCATGATCCTGCTAAATATGTGTGTTCTTTATTTGACTGGTGTCATACTAGAGCTTTCTTTCTGGAAGCTTCCCTTGAAACAACTGTTGTCAGTGAAAGTGCCCGCCCTCCCTCCCTCCCTTCCTCCTCTTTTTTTTTTTTTTTTTTTTTTTTTCTTTTGAGACAGGGTCTCCCTGTAGCCCCAGTTGGCCTGGAACTCACTATGTAGACCAGGCCGACCTTGAACTCACAGATCCGCCTGCATCCGGCGGCCTGAGAGTGGCTTTTGTAGGCACTGGATATGACTCTGGACTTTGTCCTTTACCTGATGAGGGACATTTGATCTCATTTCTGTTGTTATTTTGAGTCAGCTATAACTTTCTGGTCAGAACCACCTGCATGCCTCCTCATCTACATTGTTACTGTCATTTTTTAAGGAAAGATTTATTTGTATTATTTTAAAAATTATACGTATATTTGTGTGGGCATGTGTACATGAGAGCAGTTGTCCGAGAAGGGCCAGAGAGGGTGCCTGATTCCCTGGAGTTGGAGTTATAGGTGACTATAAACTGCCTGATATGGGTGCTAGGAACTGAACTTGGGCTGTGAGCTGCCTGATGTGGGTGCTGGGTCCTGAGCTTGGGTTCTCTGTAAGAGCAGTAGGAGCTCTTAAATGCTGAGCCAGATCTTCAGTTCCCAGCTTAACATCATCTTAAACACTTCGCTGTGCCTTCCTAGGTGTAAAGATCATCTTCTGGATTGTTTCTGCATTTCAGGTTGCTGCACGTGTTTGGCTGTCTTTAGGATCATCTTTGTGTGGGTTTTCCTTTCACATCCTCTGGCCACTTCCAAAATTGGGCTAATTTGGGTGGAGAGGGGTTTGAGACAGGGTATCACATAGCCCTGGCTGGCTGTGAACTCACTGTGTAGCCGAGGCTGGTTTTGAACTCCTGATCCTCCTGCCTCCACATCTCAGATGCTGGGGTGACAGCTGTATATCATCATGCCTCATTGGCCCAACTAATTTTTTCTTTTTCAAAAAAATATTTTAGCTGGGCGTGGTGGCGCACACCTGTAGTCCCAGCACTTGGGAGGCAGAGGCAGGCAGATCTCTGTGAGTTCGAGGCCTTGTCTAGTCTACACAGTGAGTTCCAGGCCAGCTGGGGCTACAGGGAGACCCTGTCTCAAAAAGACCAAAAAAAGATTTTTTAAAATTATTTTTTATTTTATGTGTATGAGTGTATTGCTGCCTGTATGTGAGTGCACCTGTATCATGCAATGCCATGGAGGTCAGAAGAGGGTGTCGGATCCCCTGGAACTGGAGTTAAGGACGGTTAGTAACCACCATGTGGTGCTGGGAATCAAACCCGGGTCCTCTACAAGAGCAGTCAGTGCTCTTAACTGCTGAGCCTTCTCTCCAGCCCCAACAACTAATTTTTTCTTGATTTCTAAAGTTCTTTGAATCATAATCAATGGCACATGTTGGTCATGGCGTTGTCCAGAGTGTGGTTTTTCTTTTCCCTTCTTTACAGTGGCTTCAAGTGCCCCAAATATTAGCATTTGAATGTAGTAAAATACAGTCATCTTTTTTCTGAATTAATATCTCTTTTGGTATCTGTAAGTGTATTTGTGTATATATGTATGTGTATAAGCATTGTGTGTTTGTGTATACACATGTGTACATATGTTTGTGTGTGTGTGCATGTGTGTTTGGGAGGTATATGTGGGAGGAACAACCTTGAGTGTTTTTTTTCAAGAGCAATCCACTGTGTGTGTGAGTGTGTGTGTGTGAGTGTGTGTGGGGGGGGTGGATGTGGATGTGGTGTGATTTATTTAAAAAATTTTTGTTTTCCTTTCTGGAGCTGAGGACCAAACCCAGGGCCTTACACTTGCTAGGCAAGCACTCTACCACTGAGCTAAATCCCCAACCCCTATTTATTTTTATTTTATGTGTAAGAGTATATTGCCTTCATGTATGCAAGTGCACCCATGTCCGTGCAATGCCTGCAGAGTTTGGAAGAGGGTGTTGAATCCCCTGGAACTGGAGTTACGAACAGTTGTTAGCTGCCATGTGGGTGTTGGGAACCAAACACAGGTCCTCTGCAAGAGAAGACAGGGCTCTTACCTGCTGAGCCATCTCTCCAGATCCTTATTTCTAATTTTTTTTTTTTTGGTCTTTTTGAGACAAGGTCTCCCTGCAGCCCCAGCTGTCCTGGAACTCACTATGTAGACCAGACTGGCCTTGAACTCACAGAGATCCACCTGCCTCTGCCTCCCAAGTGCTGGGATTAAAGGTGTGCGCCACCACGCCCAGCTTCTAATTTTTTTTTTTGAGACAGGGACTCACTATGTAGCCCTGGCTGGCCTGAAACTGGCTATACAGACAAGGTTGACCTCAGACTCACAGAGACTTACCTGTTTCTGCCTCCAGAGTGCTGGGATTAGATGTCTTTCCATCCACCTTGCTTTTTGAGATGGGGTCTCTTACAGATCTGGGACTCTCCTATTGGCTGAGGTTGGTGCCAAGTGAGCCCTAGGGATCTACCTGTCTCTATCCCCCAGTGCAGGGCTTACAAGTGGGCACCACAATGATCAGCTTTTTACATGGATTCTGGGGCTCAAACTCAGATCCTTATGCTTGTAAGGCAGCACTTTACCAACTGAGCTATCTCTGAAACCTCAGATTCTGTTTTTAAATCCAATAATCTATCTGTAGCGTCCCTTTGGTTTTCTGTTGACACTGATTTTTTATTATTTTATTATTATTTTTAAATTTTATGTGTATGTATGTATTGCCTGCATGTAGGTATGTGCACCCATGTAGTACAATGCCCGCAGAGGTCAGAAGAGGCTGTCAGATCCCTCGGAACTGGAGTTAGGACAGTTGTTAGCTGTCATGTGGGTGCTGGGATTCGAACCTGGGTCTTCTGCAAGAACAACCAGTGTTCTTAACCACTGAGCTGTCTCTTCAGTCCCCAACACTGATTTTTAAACTGAATTTTGAAAGAATTTCTTTGTAAGTTTTCTTTGTGGTTTACTGTGCCAACCCAGACAGTGTTCCGTGGCCCGGCAGTCAGCCTTGCCTTCCTCCTGATTTTGCAGGTAACATGTCTAACATTCAGCAGGAAGTGAAATGGCATATTGGACATTTTATCAGGTTAAAGGAGGCCCTTTTTGTCCCTAATTTAATGACCATTTTCCTTTGTCCTCAGGGAGCAAGAACCTCACTGAATGGCTTTCACACAGTAGTGGCACTTTACTCAATATGGTGAATTTATAGAGAGATTTTAAAGTATGTATAACCCTTATATTGCTGAAGTTACCATAATGTGCACAATATACTGTTGTTTTATACATTTGGGGCGGGGCTTGAGGCAGAATCTCCCTATGTAGCTAAGGCTTGCTTCAAACTTACAATCCCCTCTTAAAAATTTTTTTTAGCCGGGCGTGGTGGCGCACACCTGTAGTCCCGGCACTTGGGAGGCAGAAGCAAGCGGATCTCTGTGAGATCGAGGCCAGCCTGGTCTACCTACATAGTGAGTTCCAGGCCAGATGGGGCTTCAGGAAGAACCTGTTTCAAAAAAAGTATTTATTTATTATTGTTTTATTCTATGTGTATGAGTGTATTGCCTACATGTATGTAAGTGCACCTGTGTCATGCAATACCTGTGGAGGTCAGAAGAAGGTGTTGGATCCCCTGGAACTGGAGTTACTGACAGGTGTTAACTGCCATGTGGGTGCTGGGGACTGAACCTGGGTCCTGTGCAAGAGCAGCCAGTGCTCTTAACTGCTGAGCCATCTCTCCAGCCCCCAAACTTACAATCCTCTTGCCTCTGCCTCCTGAAGGTTGGGATTGCAGGTGTGCAGCACATCTGGCTTGTGTCTTATTTGCTCGTTTTTGTTTCATACATTTGGGGCCAGTTTTGTTGATGTACAGTTTAGGATCAGCCTTGTAAATCAGACTTCTCTGTGGTCCCTGTCCCTCCCACTGCTCAGCTCTGCACACTTTGGTATCAGGTGCACACTGTCCCACCATGTGAGGAGATGGACCTGTTCCCAAACTATTTACTTGCTGGGAAAGTCTGTGCATGACAGGAATTGCTCGGTCCTGGGTCATTTGGGGGAACTCACTGTCAGGTGCTGGGTCTAACAGTGTGTGTGGTGGTGGTGGGGTGACATTTTCCCGAGTGTAGGTGGGTTTTTCCACACTGATGGCCAATGGTTGGAGGGTGCACTGTGTCTGACTTTCTTCAGTGTCTGCTGAAAGCTGTGGGTGTCCTTGTCTACCTGCTTCTCCTCACTCCTGAACATTTGCTTCTCCTTAGCTGACTCTCTGAGCTGCTATAAAACTCCATCTTCCATGTCAGTGTCTCACCTGGTGAGCGGAGCTTCTTGTGGTCTGTCTATCCATACCTGCTCCTTTACATGTAACCTAGCTCAATCTCTCTGTCTCTCCTTCTCTCTGGCAGGATCCGTATTGGTTTCTTTTCTGTGGCTGTGATAAGACACCATGACCACAGCAACTTACGGAGGGAAGAGTTTATTTGGGATTATGGTTCCAGAAGGAGAGCCCATAATGGCGGGGAGGCGTGGCAGCAGGCACTGGAACAGGAATCGGAGAACTCACATCTTCAAACACACACAGGAAGCAGAGAGCAAACTGGATGTGGGCCAAGGGTATGAACTCTCAAAGCCCACCCCAGTGATGTGCTTCTGCCAGCAAGGCCACACCTCGTAAAGGGTCCATAGTCTGCGCAAACAGCGCCACCACCTGGGGACCATATACCAAGTGTTCAAATACTTGAGCCTGTCTATGCCATACCACCCTGAACGTGCCACTGATCTCGTCCAATATTTGAGCCTATGGGGAACACTTCTCATTCAAACCCACAGGTCCTACCATATCCCAGGCTGGCCTCCAGCTTGCTGTAGAGCTAAGGATGACCTTGAACTCCTGATCCTTCTGCCTCTACCTCTTGAGGGCTGGGATTACAGGTATGCACAACCATGTTTATGTGTTGCTAGGGATGGACCCAGGGCTTCATGCTTGCTAGGTGAGCGCTGTACATTGTGCCACACTCCTAGGCCTCTCTGTGTTTTAAGATAGGAGCCCATGCTGTCTTCAGACTCATCATGTTTGTGCCTCAGCCTCCTGAGCACAGGGGTCACAGGGGTGTGCTACCATGTCCAACCTCCCTTTCTCTCAGAAGTAAATTTCAGAATTCTTGTCTTACTTTGCTTGACTCATTCAGGAGTTACCCAGTTTGTTGCCCTTTCCCTCTGTCCCAAGTTCTCTTAGGGTCCCTGCTCCTGGTGCTGTTAGACAAACCATGTAACACATCTTCATCTGAATTTTTCATAGTTTATATCCTGGGTAGGGGAAATAGAGTAACTTACAAAGGCAAGCACCGAGCACCCTACAGGAGGTGAAGGAACATCTGGAGCCCTGTTCCACCTCTGTGGCTCAGCAGCGTGCCATTCCAGATTGCTTCTGTGCCCCACCCACAGTCTCCATTAGCTTTTGCCCACACCTTTTGGGCCCACAGTCTCACCCCAGGTCGGAAAATGCTCCCTCTGTGTCCTCAAGGGTGAGACACCAGGGCCATTTTTTCCTGGCCACTGGTGCCAACTCTCCTCCCTCCTCCGCTAACTCTCTGCAGCCAATTCTCCGCAGCAGGCCCCGCCCCTAGGCGGAACAGTACCCCTCGGGACACACCCTCTAGTTTGTGGTGCTTGAGATGGGACCCAGTGCCTCATGCACCGGAGGTGAGCACTGTACCCTGAGCCACACCCCAGCCCGCGCCTTCCATGACAGCCCTCTCTACTTCTTTAAATAGCACTCTACATGCCACGGCCTTCTCTTGCCGCCTATTCAAGTCAGGGTGCTCTCACCCTGCCCAGCCCTGCCTGCCATGTCAGGTCCCTTGTAAGCAAGTCCGTGTTGTTCCTTGTTTGTTGATGCAGTCAGCTGTTCGTGTGGACACACCCACCTGCTCACCAGGAACCCTACAGTTTTCAAACTGCTCCTCCTTCCTGTGGGGCTCTGCTTCCTTCTTCCTGGTCCTGTGCTCAGAGGTGGGCGGAAGCTTTCCAGAGAAATAGATGATGTGCTGCCTGGGGACGCCTCCCCTCAGGGAATGGAAAGATGCTCTTGTTAGGTCCTCAAAATGGCGGCAGTGATGCCAAGCCTCCCAGAATGTCAGGCCAACAGGCTGCACAACCAGGAAGAAGAAAATCAGAACAGCATTCCTCAGGAGCCAGTATCCCCAAACCCCCTTGCAGAAACTGGGTTTTGCAAATCCCCCTGGCAGAAACCAGGTTTCAGCAGAAACCAGGTGCAAAATTCCCTGTTTATCAGGAAGATTACAGTTCCCTCATCCTTGCCCCCCAGACCAGAGCCTCCTGGAAAGCCACCCAAGCCTCTAACTTCCTATGAAATCTATTCTACTTCTGTTAGTTCCTATTTCTCTCTGTGAGAGGTAGCCCAGCAGTGTGTCAGTAAACCGCTTTTCTCCTTCACCGAGTGATCCCGTTCGGTGGTTTTCATTGCCCGCTTCCATACACTCTGGATGGGGGCACCTCCCCACAGGATGTGGAAAGGTGCTCCAGCTGGGGCGCCCTCCACAGGAACAGCTATTCGCCTTCTAGATCCCTAGGCACGTTTGAGGCACTGCTCTGCTGCTGGTTTGTGTTGCTGGGGTCAGTGAGCTGGAGGTCACATGCCTTTCTGTGTTTGCTCTGGTCTGTGTGTGTTGATTCAATGTGCCTGGTAATGTGGATTCTTGCTTGTGACCCCTGTGGAAGAGTCTCCCTGTGCTTGCCCGTTCTGGGTTCATTCTGTTGCTGTGATAAAATACCCTGACAACAGGCAACTTGGGGAAAAAGGGTTTATCTCAGCTTTTCATTATGGATTACTGTCCACCACTGTGGGGAAGTCAAGGAAGGAACTTCACACAGCTGGTCACATCACATTCACGGGAAGAGCAGAGACACAAGTGCACACACGCTGCTTGCTTGGCTCAAGTCGGTTTCTCCACTCCTTTTTAAAAAAATATTTTTTATTTTATGTGTATGAGTGTACTGCCTGCATGTATGTAAGTGCACCCGTGTCATGCAATGCCTGAAGAAGTCAGAAGAGGCCGTCGGATCCCCTGGAACTGGAATTACAGACAGTTAGCTGCCACGTGGGTGCTGGGAACTGAACCCAGGTCCTCTTAACCACTGAGCCGTCTCTCCAGCCCCTTCACTGTATTTTTTTTGAGGCAGGGTCTCCCTTTCCCCTCTAGTGCTGTGGTTACAGGCAAGTTCCACCACACCCAACTTTTTTTTTTTTTTTGGTCTTTTTGAGACGGTCTTCCTGTAGCCCCAGCTGTCCTGGAACTCACTATGTAGACCAGACTGGCCTTGAACTCACAGAGATCCGCCTGCCTCTGCCTCCCGAGTGCTGGGATTAAAGGCGTGCGCCACCACGCCCAGCCTACACCCAGCTTTTTATGTGGGCTCTGGAGGTTTGAACTCAGGTCCCGCAGCAAGCTCTTTACTGACAGCTGTTTTCTCAGTCCATCTTTTTTTTTGAAGAGCTTTATTGAGATCAAATTTGAACATCCTACAGTTCATTCCTTAGTTGAATGTTTTTTTATATTCACAGAGCTGTGCAACAAACTTTGTCATTGTCTTAAACCCATGAAGGAAACAGCCCGTTTTGGTTCCTCTGCCTCTGCTTCAGACCAAGTGACTTCCTGTCTCATATAAACAGAGTCAGCTGAGGCGAGATCTTGGGCGACAGGTCTCTTTTGCCGAGTGTACTGTTTTCCCTGCTCATCCCCGTCGTTTGCTCTCGTTGCTCCATGATGCTCCATTATCTGCAGGCTCCACGTTGTGTGGATCCATTCAACACGTGACAGACATTTGGGGGTGTTTCCACTTTGACTTTTTTTTTTTTGTCTTTTTGAGACAGGGTCTCCCTGTAATCCCAGCTGTCCTGGAACTATGTCGACCAGGCTGGCCTCGAACTCACAAAGATCCACCTGCCTCTGCCTCCCAACTGCTGGGATTAAAGGTATATGCCACCACGCCCGGCTCCACTTTGACTTTTAAAAAAGTTTTTTATGTGTATGAGTATTTTGCCTGCATATATGTAAATCCACCATATGTGTTCAATGCTTGCAGAGAGGCCAGAAAAGGGCATCAGATCCCTGAACCTGGAGTTGCATGTGGTTGTTAGCCACCATGTGGTGCTGGAACTGAACCCAGGGCCTCTGCAAGAGCAGCCCGTGCTCCTAACTGCTGAGCCATCTCTCCGCCTTGACTCTACAGGGAAGGCTGCCACATGCCGGCCGTGGTGCTTTCCGGGTGCGTGTCTGCCACACACGTGGGAGTGGGCTTATCTGCAGTGACCTGTGCTGTCTCTGCCTTTCTGGAATGCCCTTTTGGTCGCTGCCCTTGGCTCTCAAGGCTGTGGCTGAGTACTTTCTTGGGATTTTCCTTCCCATCTGCCTGGTCCTTCAGTTGTTTTGTGACTGTGATGGGATTTTTAGTTTTCAGAGTTCTATTCTGTCTTCTTCCAGAAATGTGCCAGGTCTCTTAGATGGGAGTCTTTTGGTCCTATTGCAATTTAAAAATTTGTATTTTTATATGCATGAGTGTCTTGTCTGCATGTACATATGTGTACTACATGCATGTAGTATCTGTGGAGGCCAGAGGAGGGTGTCAGAGCCCATGGAACTGAAGTTACAGGTAGTCGTGAACCACCATGTGAGTGTTGGGAACCAAACGTGGGTCCTCTGCAAGAACAGCAAATGTTTTTCTTTCTGTCATTTTGAGGCAGGGTCTTCCTGTAGCCCCAGCTGGCCTGGAACTCACTATGTAGACCAGACTGACCTTGAACTCACAGAGATCCACCTGTCTCTGCTGGGGTTAAAGGTGCCCACCAACATGCCCAGCAAGAGCAGCAAATTAACCACAGAGCCATCTCTCCAGCCCCAAATGTTCCAATTTTTAAGTCTCAGACATTCCAAGCATTTTCTATTGTAGTAACAAGTTGGAGGCTCAGAAGCATACCACATAGTGATGGCTGAATTAAGAGTTATTTAATAGCCAGTGGTGGAACTCTCCACCCGGAGAAGCAGAGCAGGGCTTGTAATGCTTAAAACCACAGTTACGTCATGCCAGGGGCAAAACCCATAACCACAGTTCCATCACATCACCATAGTTACCCCAGACCAGGGGCAGGTCAGTTTAACAAAGTTTTCAGTTAACAAAAAGTTTCTAAGTTATGGTTAGGAAAAACAGGTTTCTCAGAATTGTAGAAACAATGGGCTTTCTGGAGAGGCAGGTGTATGTAGGAAAGGCCATTCTGCTTGGCTAGTTGTAAGTCCCAGTATGGTAGACACAATGCACCCCCTGAAACTGCATGGGACCTTTCTGGCTGACTGGCTACAGGGGGAGCTGCTAGGCAGAAACATAGGGCAAGCAGATGTCAGAATAAAATGGAGTCAGTTTGGCCATTTCACTGTTCTTGTGTGTGTGTGTGTGTGTGTGTGTGTGTGTGTGTGTGTGTATGTAGGTGCATGTGTGCAAGTGAATGTACATGCATGTATGTGTGGGTTGGCCAGAGGACAACTTCAGCTATTGTTTCTCAGATGCTGTTTCCCTTGATTTCTCTCATTGGTCAGGAGCTGACTGATCAGGCTATGCTGTTCGGTCAGCAAACCCAGGGATCTGCCTGTCTCCACCTTTCCAGTTAGTCTGTTTACATCCACAGTGCTCTACGTCTTGTTCTGCCCCCCACTTAGTAAATCTTTGAGATTTATTTACACTGCTTCTTGGACAGTGAGCCACTTTAATCACAGATAAGCACTCTGCTGAGCACTTTTGGTGACATACCCTGATGTCCTGCTAGGAGCTCTCTGATGCCTCACCATATTTGTGAACATCTCTCTGCAGTACATGTACCCACAGTGGAGTCTGTGTGTCAGAAACTGTGCCCCAAACCCCCAGATCATTCTTCAACAAGACTGTGAGGTCTCAGCTCTTTTGGACAATAAAGGCATTTTGTGTTCATGTGATTTACTTCATATTAAAATAACACTGAAGAGCTCTTCATGTTTTTACTAGCCACTTGTAATTGGTCACTTTTCCATTATGTAGAGACAGGAGGACCCTTGGGATTCGATGGCCAAACTGCCTGGCCTAATCAGAGAGCCCCAGGTCCCACTGAGAGGAGACTCTGCCTCCAAAATCAAAGCAGATGGCTGTCTTAGTTCCTTTTCTTGTTGCTATGATAAAATACTCTGACAAAAAGCAGCTTAAGGGACAGAGGGTCCCTTATTCTGGCTCACAGGTCAAGCGTGCAGTCTGCTAGGCGTGGTGGCACATGCTTCTAATCCCAATGCCCCAGAAGGAGAGACAGGCAGATCTCTGTGAGATCAAGGCCAGCCTGGTCTACATAGCAAGTTCCAGGTTTGGTGAGGTAACGGTGAAACACTGCCTCAAAAAAAGAGAAAAAAAGTGCAGTCTATCCTGGAGAACAGGTCAAGGGTAGCTGGTCACATCACAGTAACAATCAGGAAGCAGAGGGCAGTGACGGAATGCTGGTACTCAGATCACTCTCTCCATTTTACACAGTTCAGAATCCCCTGCCCGTAAACTGGTCCTATCCACAATCAAGATTGATAGCCCCACATTAATTAAGGTAATCAAGACATCAAGATGCTCCCTCACAGACCTTCTCATAGGCTACCTTCAGTCTAGATCATCTCTCTCAAGTGTGCCTGGAGGCTTGTCTCTTGGGTGACTCCAAACTTTGTCAAGGTGACAACACTAACTTACAGCAATCATGAGGGACGGATGGCTGCCAAGGCTGGCCGCGGCCTCCACATGCTCTTGTGCACACAGCGCACACTCACATATATCTGTGCACCCCTGAAACGTACATACCCAAAAGAAATTGGCTTATTATTTTATTTATTCAAACAGGTGAAGCAGGAGGTAACAGAAAGGAAACAGCTCATAGAAGTGACTCGCAGGGGACGAGGAAGTGGCCTGGGAGACCCAGGGTCCGGCAGGTTGAGAGGCTGGTGAGAACGGGCCCAGGTCACACAGAAACACTGACCGGCTGTGGGTCCTGAGACGAGGCGGATGGTGACCGACTGTGGCCATCAGATGCGCACCGGTTTCTAGATGGGGCCATTTCCAGGTCTCCAGAGGGAAGCGGAAGACAGGCCTAGCTGGAGTGCTACACCTGGGAGGGTGGTGGAGGCTTGAAAGGGAGGTGAAGGTGGGGACCTGCACCTCAGGGAGGCACTATAGGAGGAGCCGATTCAGGGACACCAAGAAATTGCTGTCATGGGCCTGGAGAGATGGCTCAGTGGCTAAGAGCACCTGTTCCCAGCACCCACATGGTGGATACAAACCATCCTTAACTCCAGTTCCAGGGGAATCCAAAGCCCTCTTCTGACCTCTGCGGCATTGCATAACACAGGTGCACTCATATACATGCAGGCAATATGCTCATATACATAAACTAAAAATAATAAAATATTAAAAAAGAAATTGCTGCCACCTAATATCAAGAGACCTGAAGGTCTGAGTTTAGAGATTTAGATCTTGCACTGGCAGCACACGGGGACACAACAGCTGGACTGACAGCAGCAGGGCTTGCAGCAGCTGGACTGACAGCAACAGGGCTTGCAGCAGCTGGACTGACAGCAGGAAGACCCACAGTCTGAAGAACAGCAGGGCTTGCAGCTGCTGGACTGACAGCAACAGGGTTTGCAACAGCTGGACTGACAGCAGGAAGACCCACAGCCTGAAGAACAGCAGGGTTTGCAACAGCTGGACTGACAGCAACACGGTTTGCAGCAGCTGGACTGACAGCAGCTGGACTTGCAGCCCCCACAGGAGGCACAGCCCCCCTTGCAGCCCCCACAGGATGCACAGCCCCCCTTGCAGCCCCCACAGGAGCCACAGCCCCCCTTGCAGCCCCCACAGGAACCACATCCCCCCTTGCAGCCCCCACAGGAGCCACAGGCCCCCTTGCAGCTCCCACAAGAGCCACAACCCCCCTTGCAGCCCCCACAGGAGCCACAGCCCCCCTTGCAGCCTCCACAGGAGCCACAGGCCCCCTTAGCACCCCCACAGCTGGAGCAGGAGCAGGCGGGCACACAGCAGCACACGGGCTTGCAGCAGCACACGGGCACACAGCAGCTGGAGCCACAGCCTCCGGAACAGCCACCGCAGGTCATGGTTCTGGCGGTTGGTTGAGGATGGAGTAGGTCAGAGGAGCAGGTGGAGAGGGAGGTGTGCGGTGCAGAGCCTCCTGAGCCTGGGGCCTTTATAGCTCTGCCCAGGGTCAGGTGGGAGGCTGCACATGGTCACTTCCTTCTTACTGTTTCTGCAATGTGTCCAAATGTGTGTTTTTCCCCCTTGTGATGACTTCCTGCTGCCTCAGCTGAGTGTCACTTGTTTCTGCATTGGTGTTCCTGGTTTGTTTGGACCCCTCTTATTGGAGCCTCAACTCCAGGTGGTGACGGGTGTCCCTAGGAGGCTGGAGTACCGGTCACCTGCTGTGTCCACTGGCCACATGACCGTCATAACAGCAGCCTGCTCACTTGTGTGCACTTTTGCTGTTGCCTGCTCCCTGATGACACTTACTTTTCATTCTAATTTTTCAGGTGACCCGTGGTGTTTACTGGAAACAAGAAACTTAAGGAGAAAGCAAACGAGCCATTCCCGCACTCCCACAGATGACACCTGACCCCTCTGTAAGCGTGCCGTATGCACACTAAGTAGATTTCCCCAGTGGGTTCTGCCTCACTCGCTTCGTGCCTCTGTCAGCCTTCGGGGATGGTCTTTCCGCTACGACCTGGCCTGTGGGCCTGCCCAGCCTTACCTCGTTCTCACATCTGCCAGGGGCTCTGACACCTGGAGACTCTGGCCATCTCCTCACTTCTCCTGGAGGCTGCTGCCAGGTGGAGTCTGCCTCCCGGCTCAGCCTAGCTCTGTGGGGCCGTGGTCTTGAGGGCTGGCCGTGTCTCCCAACTGTGAGACTCAGACACTTCCCCACTCCCTGGTCAGGGGGAGGGTTGTGGTCTCCACCCTCATGAATGGACCCTCGCAGCTGTAAAAGAGGGGTGGTAATGTCATTTCTGCCTTCCTACCCTGTGAAGACATGGCTGATGGGCCACTCCAAATTCTGACCACTTTTTTCTCTTTTTAAAATTTATTCTTTAACTTATTCTTTGACAATTTCATACCTGAATGTAATTAAAAAAAAATATCCAACCCCCATTCCCCTGTCCTATCCCCTCCCACTGTCTCTGGATCCCTTCTCAATACATAACCTCCTATTTCCATGTCTGTTTGTGTGTAGGGGGTGGGTACACATGAGCCTTAGCATTTTATCTATCCCTGATCTCTAGCCCACACCCACCGAGCTTCCCTTTCTGGGACATTTACTGATGGAATCTGACCTACTGTGTCCATGCTGGGCCCTGCGTGATCCCTTTCCGGGAGCTGGTAAGACCCCACCCTCTGCTGTGAGAAGCTTTTCCTGAAACTCCTGAGAGGCTGGCAGTGCTGATGGAGCAAGTCAACCCTGCATCTGAGGCTCTCAAGGACTGTCTGTTGCACCCCTCGCTCTCCAGCAAGGGCCCTTAAGAACTATTATTTTATGACAGAGTCTCTAACATAGGTCGGCCTTAAAGCTGCCGTGCTGCTGAGGATGACCTTGAACTCTGATCCTCCTGCCTCCATCTCTCAAGTGCTGAGATCACAGGCGTGCACCATCACCTGGGCTTACATGGTGCCAGGCATCAAACCCAGGGCTCCATGCATGCTAGAAGGGCATTCTACCAATTGACACCCCCAGTTGAGCATTTAGTACTTAAATTTCACCCAGAACCTCCAAATTTCCCTGGGAGATAAAACATTTGACAATCCAAAGACGGTCTCCTAAAAGTTCACTCTTCTCTTGGAACTTTGTTTCTAGCAGCATGTGCTTTCATATTTCCCAGGGGCCTTTAGAATTTATTTGATATGACCCAGTTGTTTCTATTACTTATTATTATTTTTTAGACTTTTCCTGCTACAAGTTTGCACACCCTAAGCGGTTGTTGTTGTTGTTGTTATTATTATTATTATTATTATTATTATTAAAGGAAGGGAAAATGAACAAACTGACCTTTTATTATTATTATTACTATTGGGTCTTTTTGAAACAGCGTCTCCCTGTAGCCCCAGCTGGCCTGGAACTCACTACGTAAACCAGGCTGGCCTTGATCTCACAGAGATCCGCCCGCCTCTGCCTCCAGCGTGCTGGGATTAAAGACAGGCGCCACCATGTCCAGCCTTTGTCAGGATATTTTATCATATCAACAGGAAATGAAGCAGAACTCTGCCTTACCACTTCCTGTTTTTACCTTGCTTATAAAACACTTGCATACCTATGCTGAAAACTCCAAGGAAAAATCTGAAAGCTGGAACTTTCTTTCCATTTGTCCAAACATGCCCTCCCCAGCAGTGACTGCTTTCCTGTAACATTCCTGTAGACCCATCTGCAGATGCCCATCACCTTTAATGCCTTTATCAGACCCGTAAGTAACTGACGCAAAGCGTCATGTGCTGCCTCCCCTGCTGCTGTGAATCCCCTGAAACACAGGTACAAGCAACAGAGCACCCTTGAGGTAAGTAAACAGCCTAGTAAGCTTTGGCAGTGTGCACACCCCATGACACTGTGTACAGCCTTCACCAGCAGCCCAGTCTGGGGTGGAACACTCCCTCCCCTCTAAAAGGCTCTGTCCTTCTTGCCAGCTAACCCCTCTGGCCCCCATATAGCCTCAGACCTATGTCCTGACTCTAGGGATAATGTTGGACTTTCAGAGAGTTTCCTGCTGACCTCTGTCTGACATGTCTTTCTTGTTAGCGCAAGTTAAGATGCATCAAGTCCCAGTGTATACCAGCCACTCATTCTTCTCTGTAATCTGGAGGTGGTGGGCATTTGGGCTGCCTCCACCCCTGACCTACCAGTGGCCCAAATACCATGAACTTCCATTCAGATGTGTTGGGAACATGTGCTCTGATTTGTGGCATACATGCCTTGGAATGGAAAGGGTGAGTCATGGGGTAGGTTATGACCAGCTATATAGAAATTGACTACTCTGCATATCAACAGCTGTCAGATGGGAACAGTTTAGAGGGAAATGGACAGTTGCTTTAAATGTCTGTGTTGGAAAAGGAAAAGGTCATAAATCAATAATCCAACTTTCTATCCTAAGAAGCAAGGAGTGGGCTGGAGAGATGGCCCAGCAGTTAAGAGTACTTAATTTACTGCTTTTACAGAGGACCCAAGTTCAGTGCCCAGCACCTAAGTCAGGCAGCTCACAACTGCCTGTAACTTCAGATCCTGGAAATCTAATGCCTCTAGCCTCTAAGGGCACCTGCACACATGTGCATACATCCATACACAGACACATACACAGAAATAGACATACACAGGAACAGACTAAGCGGAAAATAAAAGCCAGAGTAAATGAACAAAACCAAGAACTAGACTGTTAAAAACATGAACAGAGTTGACAGACCTTTAGCAAAGCAGACCAGGAAGAAAAGATCCAAACTCCTAAAATCAGAAGTGAAGACAGTAAACTTTCTCCTGACTTTACATTAAAAAGATCAGAAAAATCCTATTGACTTCCTGCTAATAAATTAGACACCTTCGACAAGGTAGGAAATTTCCCAATTGCCAGACTGACTCAAGAGGAAAGAACTCCAGGGCCACACGGAAACAAGGTAAAACAATAGGATAATAAGAAATGGAAAATATAACACACCTAGAAGACGTCATTATTAATTAAAATTCTTCCCACAAGGAAAAGCTCAGGTCCAGATGTCATCACTGATGAACTTTACCAGACTTTTAAAGAAAAACATACATTCTACTTGAATTTCTTCTGGAATGTACTGTGAGGGAGCGGCTTCCCCAGGCATCACTCAAGGAAGATGGAAGGGGTGGGTCAAGTCACGTCTGCTGGATTAGATACCTGGGAAAGTGAAGGGACAGGGTGGGGCACGAGTTCTCCCCGAGGACCCTGGATGCCCCTCCTTTAATTCCCATCTACAAGGCGCCTCCTGCCGGCGCCAGCTGCACCTCTGGGAAGGGCCTGGGCTGCCTTCCCTCCCTCTGAAGGGAGCTCAGTGCAGGTGCACGTGCTCTTCCCAGTTCATCCACTAGGTGGCGCTGGCTGTCTTGGGCTCAGGTTCTGCAAGGCTGGTGTTGCCCTGCGGCTGGGCAAGCCCGCAGTTTGGATGCCACGTTCACAGCATCTTGTGGATTCCTGCATGATCCTCTCTGTTGAAATGGAAAGACTTGATCGATATGAGTTAATCGATTGGCTGCTAAGGTTGAAGTTACTGGGAAAAAGAAGTGTCTTTCACTGGCCTTAAAAGCTAATCTGCTGGAGAACAGACCAGAATTAAACTGGTCTGCTCTCCAGAGTCCGGAGAAGTCCCCCAGACACTGTGAGCCCCTAAGGAGGCTGTGAGGTCGCTTCATGAGGATGTCCAAATCCTTACTACAATTTTTTAAAAAAACCTTTGGGTGTGTGGTTTTCTTGAGAGTCTCAAGTAGTCCAAGCTGGCCTTGGATGTTCTGCAGCCAAGCGCGACCTTGAACTTCTGATCCTCCCGTCTCTACCTCCCAAATGCTGAGATGACAGATGTGCACCATCACACTGGCTTACGCAATGCCGGGGATGAAACCCAGGGATTTGCCCATGCCAGGGAAGCACTTTACCACAGCACACCTGAATTCCACATATGTTCACAGTTCTCCCTCCAACTTGCTGAGGCTGGTCTGGCTGGTCTGGACATCAGACAGGGATGGACAGGGCTGAGGTTTCCCTCAGAGGTCCTAGTTTGTCTAGGGAGCATAGGTAAGGACAGGGTGGGGGTGGGTATCACAAGATGCAGAAGTGATGATTCTGATAAGGGTCTGCACACTGATTTGCAAGTATCTGTAGCATGGGAAGAACAAGGGCACTGGGGGCTCATCACCAGTGTCAGGATCTAGCCCTGGGCAGAAATACCTACAGGGCTCCCAATGCCAGGACAGGACTTCATCTCAGCACCTGGGCTGCCACAGCACCAGGTCTCCCAGGTAGGGTGAGACTCTGCCTCTATTCATTCCCTCTGTGTGTGTGTGTGTGCATGCGTGCGTGCGCATGCATGTATGTGTGTATATACATATGTTTGACGATGTGCATGCACATGCATGTGGAGGCCAGAGGTATAGGTCTTTTTTTTTTTTTTTTTTTTTTTTTTTTTTTTAAAAATTTTTTTTTGTCTTTTTAAAGAATATGGCTGTCAGTGGTGGGATTAGAGCTGCTCTGCGGCTGGGGTGGACCTTTGACCTGGAGTCACCTACAATCTGACTTCCAGAACCATTCATTTCTTTTTTTAAAAAAAATTTATTTTATTTTATGTGTATGAGTGTATTTCCTGAATGTGTGTAAGAGCAACTGTGTCATGCAGTGCCCTTCAAAATCAGAAGAAAGCATCACATCGCCTGGAACTGGAGTTTCAGATGGTTGCTAGCTTCCATGTAGGTGCTGGAAAATGAGCCTGGGTCCTCTGCAAGAGCAGCCAGTGCTCTACCACTGGCCATCTCTCCAGCCCCATTTCTTTCTTAAAATTTTTTTTGATTTTTTTCATTTTACATGTATGAGTGTACTGCCTGCATGCATGTATGTACACCCATGTCATGCAATGCCCGAGGAGGTCAAAAGAGGGCATCGGATTCCTCTGGAACTGGAGTTATGGACGGCTGTTAGTCACCATGGGTGCTGGGAATCGAACCCGGGTCCTCTGCAAGAGCAGCCAGTACTCTTAACTGCTGAACCATCTCTCCAGCCCCCCACAGCCATTCATTTCTTATGTGAGATCCCCCACCCAGCCGCAAGACTGCCAGGCAGTTTTTAACCTAGCAATTTGAGTCAGGGTAGGGTGGGACAAGACCCCGTCCTAGCTCTGTGGAGTGGTTCCCACGAAGAAAGCCAGGCTCTGCTCTATGCTGCAGGTGCAGACTGGGAATAAATGATCCTTAGGCAGCACTTGCAGCCAACCTTTGGGAGCCTGGGGCAAGAGGACTGCAAACCCGAGGCCGACTTGGGTACATAGCTAGATAAAAACAAAAACAACAAACCGAAAACACTCCTCCATCCAAAAGAAAACCTCAGTGCTCAGTGGCCGCAGCAGCCCAGCCCTGAAAGTCACAGTCTGAGGTTCCACTTACACTGCCTGACTGGAATAGGAAAGGACCAGCGACAGGAAACAGAAGTGGGTGCCAAGAGCCCAAAGCAGGAGGGCAGGGAGAGGCTGGGTGGGGGTGGAGTTTGGAGGTGACTGAAAAGCTAGGAGCCAAGCAAGGGGGAGACTGTAAAACTTTGGAGATGTGTTATACTGCGTGTATTTCAACTCAGATGAGAACGTGTTTGCCTAGTATGTGGGAAGCTGTGGGTTTGATTCCCAGCAGTGCATCAACGAGGCAGGGTGGTCTACACCTGGAATCCCAGCACTGGGGAAGAAGACGAAGAAGATCAAGAGTTCAAGGTCATCCTCAGCTACACAGTGAGTTTGAGGCCAGCCTGGGTGACATGAGAACTTGCCTCATTACAGAAAAAGAAAAATAATGCAAAAGAGCAAAGGGCAGGGCTGGAGAGATGGCTCAGTGGTTAAGAGCACCTACATCTGTTGGAGAGGACCTGGCTCAGTTCCCAGCACCCACATCAGGCAGCTCACTACCACCTGCAACTCCAGGGCTCCAACTCCCTGACCTCTTTTAGCACCTGCATACACATACTGTGTGTAAACCTATGCATGCATACACACATACTCATTTTATAAAAAATGGGGTGGGGTATTGGGAGGGTTCACATTTGATCTAGAGCAACCCTCAGTCCAGCTTAGTGGACTGTTGGGTACCCCCATCACGGCTGCACCCGCATTTCCAAGGGTGGAGTTTCTGTGGGGCAGAGCTACCTCCTCTCTAACAGTGCTGCTGTGCCGTGGGGCTCTGTGGTGGCTCAGGTGTGAGTCGACTGAGAACCTGCATGCTGCCAGGGTCACCTGCTGCCTTGATGAGGGGCCATGGCCACTCCTCTGAGGCGGCTCCACTGGCATGCCTTCCTCTTCTTGCTGGGGGGCCACAGCCTAGCTACACCTTCCCAGTGGCCTGTGACCTGGTTGCTACCTTCTCCATCCCCACTGGAGGTTCAGACATGCTGACCCTGCTGTTTCCAAGGGTACTGGCCATCCCTAGCCCTGTACCCTGTCATATGACCAGATTACATTGAGGCAGATCTGCAGCCCTTGCTAACCTCAGGTAAGAGTCGAGGCTACAGGAGTAGGTTGGGGGTGGGGGGTGGAGCTGGGGTCAGGCTGGTACATTTCTATAGCGCCACTGACCCAGAACTGGCAAGAATGGAATTCACACACAGGGTGACCAGAGTCCATCCCTGAAGTGCTCCTGAGACCTGAGCGATGCCTCGACCTGGACTGTGGACTTCAGGCTCACCTGCTGATATATTTCTGCGTATCACAGGCCTTTGTCAGCTCGGAGGTGTGTTGTTCCAGAAGCTTCTGTGATCTGGAAGCAGAGCGTGTACAGCTCAGGGTTGTAGGTCCTGGTCTGTACTCTTTTGACTTCACACCATTCTCATTACACCTGTGTGTTGTCGCAAACCTCACCAGCTAGGACTTCAGGAGCCGAGGCCCGTTATCCATATTCTTGAGGCTGAAGGTCCGAGATGGAGGTGCCACAAGGCCCTCTCTTTGTCTTTCAGATGGTGACTTCATGTGGACATCCTCTGTCCTGTTCCATATTTATTGTGTGTGTAAATGTGGTATTTGTGTGTGCGTTCATGCATGTATGTGCATGTTCATGCGTGGCATGTGTGTGTGTGTGTGTGTAGATTGGAGTTCAACCACAGGCATCGTTCCCCTGGTGCTGTCTACCTTGTTTGGAGACAGGAGCTCTCACTAGCTTGGAGCCTACTGAGTAGGCTCAGTCTGCTGGCCAGCGAGCCCCAGGAATCTCCCATCTCTGCCTCCCAGGCTCTGGAATTATAAACACATGCTACTGCACACAGCTTAAAAAAAAAATTTAGATGTGTGTGTATGTGCTCATGTTTGCAGTGCCTGTGAAGACCAGAAGATGGTGACAGATCCCCTGGAGCTGGGGTTCCATGCACTTGTGTGCTGCCTGACTCAGGTGCTGGGAACCAAACCCGGGTCCTTTGCAAGAACAGCAAGCGCTCTTAACTGCTGACTCATCTCTTCAGTCCCATGCCTGGCTTTTTTATCACTTGGGTTCTGGACATTGAAGTCAGGTCCTCATGCTTGTGAGTCCAACACTTTCCTGATTGAGCCCAGCCCCTAAATCTACCTTCTTATGTGGCATGAAGAGGGTCTAGCTGTAGGGACTGGCCTGTGGGTGTCACAGACAGATGAACACTTGACCTGGGCCAGTCACATGCCACTGAAGGTCTGGAAAGCAGGGCTGGTCTCCTGCAGAATGCCTGTTCCTCTTCCGGATTCACCTGCTAGGTCCCCACCCATCTTAGGAGCCAGGCCAGGAGCTCTGTGGACTCCTAAGCCTTTGTCTTTACAGGTGTAAAGACAGCTGGGGTGGCTGGATGGTTGGGCTCATCCCCATGGTCCCCTGGGAGCTGGATTTAGATGCAACAACCCCAGAACTCGTGGAGGTGGACGGTCGAGGACTTGAGTGGTCATAGTGTGAGCGGGTGGCCTTGCCCCTCACAGTGGTGGTGGCCCTCTTTGGGGTGGTGGGCAACAGTGCAGTATCTTGCCTCCTCTGCTTCTGCATTTGCAGCAGGCCCCACATGGCCGGCGTCCTCAGTCTGGCTGACGCCGATGTCCTCAGCCTCACCTGTGCCACTGGGGACCTGCTGGAAGACATGACTGGGTGGCACCACGAGGCGGGGTGGCAGGCCACTGCGATCCTGGAGCCCGTCTCCTCTTTCTCCAACACAGTACTCTTTGTCTCCTGGCAGCCGTGACTGTAGAGAACTCTTTGAGCATGTTCTGTCCCACCTGGTGCCACTGCCAGCCACCCTGTCTGTGGTAGTCAACACTCTGACCTGGATCCTGGCCCTTTCTCTACATGTAGCCATCGAGGCATGTGCATACTGGGCTGAGGTCCTAGCCTGCGACCCATTTCACACAGGGTTTGTAGTATTTCAGCTGCTAACCTGCTCCGTGATGTGTGTGTCCAGCCTGACGCTGGTCCTCCGTGGCCTGTGCCACCCCCAGCGGTGCTCACTGGCCAGGGTCTACCGCGACGTCCACATTGTGGCCATCACCTTCCTCCTTTGGGGCCTGCCCCTGGCTTTCGTCCTGAACCTGCTGGAAGAAGGTGGCTCTGAGCCTGGCCTTTGACCTCCTGTGTCTCTTGTCCAGCACGGTTGGCACAACTCACCCAGCCATCTACTTCCTGGCTGGATGCGTCCGGAGGAGGAGATGCCGGGAGTCACTGAGGACGGTGCTGCACAGAACCCTGATGGGTGAAGTGGAGGAGTGGGGTGACAGGACAGGATGGTGACAGACACACCATCCTGGGGAGGTTACAGCCTCAGAGTTAGGGGTGAATAATGCTCATTCCTGTGCATCCCCTCTACAAAGTGCAGGGGTGACCTGCAGCCCAGGGCTGTGAAGCCCTGAGGAGCCTTGCCACAAGGATGTTTGAGACCCTCTGAGGTGCAGGGGGACGTGCTCCTCCACACAGTGACCACCTGCCTGTACTTGACGAGCCATTTTGCTGCTGTGGTGGCATCGCTCCCTCCTAGAGACCATCCTTCCAGTTCCGTGGAGACCCTCTCCTGGGCCAGCAGGGCTGGGCTTCCTCCTGTGAGTGTTCCCATCTCTTTAAAAAAATTTAATTGAATTTTTGTGTCTCATACACAACATCGTAATCACAGTTATAGCCCCTCCCCCACCGGCACCCTCTCATAGCACCCAACCACTGGATTTCATGCATTCTGTCATTGTGTTAAAGCCTATCAAGTCAGTCTATAGAGTCCCTCCTTTAAGGAAGATCAGTTCTTCCTCACCCAGCTGTAATCAGCTACCCAATAATTCTTTGGCTAAGGTTGGGGCCTGCTTCCCATCTCCCCAGTTCTGTGCTGTGTTTTTGTCTGCTTGAGTTTGCATGGGTCTTGTGCCTGCTGA